CAATCCACCTTGCTGTTACATATGAAAATACGCAAACGTTTAGGGGAGATGACTCTCTCTTTCTTACATCCTGTTTTCGAGTTGTAAAAAGGAGATCTATAAAAAGCGAGGTAGATTTTGTAATAGTTCGTATTGACGTACGTAATTGTTTATTCTGCTAACCAGACAGCTATTATGGGCAATTTTTCGTTCTCTTCCGTAACTAATCGATGAAAACTTTGTTTATAAAAGAAGATTTTCTTTTTTTAGCAAGTAAGTGAGGCGTTTAGGATGGCGTAGGTTTTTATATCTCTCAAAATAAAAGATTGAGAGATTGTAGCCTAAGTTTAGACTCCATCAAACGTGAATTGGCAATCAGACGTGAGTTGGACGTGAGTTGGTAATCAGACGTGACTTGGTATCAGACCATGAGTTGGTAATCAAACGTGAGTTAGACGTGAGTTGGTAATCAGACGTGAGTTGGACGTGAGTTGGTAATCAGACCGTGAGTTGGCAATCAGACGTGAGTTGGACGTGAGTTGGTAATCAGACGTGAGTTGGACGTGTGGGTTATTTAAAAGTTTGTTCAAACTGAACGACTGGCTTTTACACTGGACACGGGCTAATTCAAAGCTCCAGGATTTAAATTGTGATGACACCCTCTGTTATCTGACGTCACACTCTGGTGTCTGTGTGACGTCACACACTTGCATCTGTGTGACGTCACATGCACCTAACTTTACTACCGCCATCTATCAGATGGTAGGGTCGAGACACAGAGATAACCGGACAAAAGAAATCAATAACAAAATCAATGACATTAGACTTAATGACCTGCTAATTGACGTGACGTCACCTGGTGTTTGAGAGCGTGACAAACGACCAACATCCATTTGACATCAAGCGGTAAAACAGACCAGAAGCACGTTATGTGGGGTCAGTAGGCCTCTTAACACATGGTACTGTGGCTGTCATAAACTGTCATACAACATATCTATGTCTGTCATACAACACATCTATGTCTGTCATACAACACATCCATGTCTGTCATACAACACATCCATGTCTGTCATACAACACACCCATGTCTGTCATACAACACATCCATGTCTGTCATACAACACATCCATGTCTGTCATACAACACATACATGTCTGTCATACAACACATCCATGTCTGTCATACAACACATCCATGTCTGTCATACAACACATCCATGTCTGTCATACAACACATCCATGTCTGTCATACAACACATCCATGTCTGTCATACAACACATCCATGCCTGTCATACAACACATCCATGTCTGTCATACAACACATCCATGTCTGTCATACAACACATCCATGTCTGTCATACAACACTTCCATGTCTGTCATACAACACATCCATGTCTGTCATACAACACATCCATGTCTGTCATACAACACATCCATGTCTGTCATACAACACATCCATGTCTGTCATACAACACATCCATGTCTGTCATACAACACATCCATGTCTGTCATACAACACATCCATGTCTGTCATACAACACATCCATGTCTGTCATACAACACATCCATGTCTGTCATACAACACATCCATGTCTGTCATACAACACATCCATGTCTGTCATACAACACATCCATGTCTGTCATACAACACATCCATTTTGCCGAAGAAACAGTTTTATCCACTGGCCACACTTGAAATCCACTCTCTGACTAGGAGATCTACGTGGCAGAAGAAGTAGAGTTTACGTGTCACTGACCTCGGTATGTGAAACAATAGAGTGGTCAGCACAGTGCTCAACTGTATGGACATGAAGCCATAGAGTGGTCAGCATAGTGCCCAGGTGTATGGACAAAAAAAAACACAACCAAGACGAAAGTTTGACCTGTAGAGAGATTACATTGAAGGCTAGAACAGTTCGGTGGCTGTAAACGTTGGTAGGTGAAATGTGTGGGTTCGAATTCCCAATGTGATCTTTCTACCGATGTGAAGTTTTGTAACAGTTTTGCCTTCGAATTACATTGTAGGTGTGACTTGAGCTTTGTGGCATTTAAACCACATTGTTGTACATTAAATCACTTATCTAGAGTTTTAGTGTGGCATTAGACCACATTTGTTTGGGCTTGACGTGTGTGGCATTTAAACCAAAAGTAAAGAGACAACGACGTCACAGCGACATCTCCAAACGACAAAGACAAAAAGACAATTCAAGAACAAGCCTGCTAAGACGTCCCCTCAATGAAAACTAATCAATGTTACTGCTACATCTAGTGCCTAGGCTAAAGAAATACTCTTTAAAAAAATTGTTTTTCTGGCTTAGGTCGCGGTGAAATCGATGATCAAGAGGTCTATTGTAGTTTATTTCAGTAGTTCTTAACCCTTTTGAGGTAACGAACCCCACCAGTTTCATATGTGCGTTCGCTGAACCCTTCTTAATTGTTCTATCGTCTGCAAAACATATTGTAAATCATACGAGTTGGCTGTGTGTCTTGAGCTCTGAAGAACCACTGAGACACATTCACCGAACCCCTGGGCTTCCATCGAACCCAGGTTAAGAACCACTGGTTTATTTACACTAATCCTGATCTTGAACCTTGGTATACACGACTGAGATGTGGCTAGACCATCACTACCACATTGACAGATGTGGCTAGACCACATTGACAGATGTGGCAAGAACAGCACTACCACACTGACAGAGAGATGTGGCTAGACCTGCACTACCACATTGACAGATGTGGCTAGACCACATTGACAGATGTGGCTAGACCTTCACTACCACATTGACAGGTGGTTAGACCATATTGACAGATGTGGCTAGACCATTGACAGATGTGGTTCGACCAACACTACCACATTGACAGATGTGGCTAGCGGCTAGACCACATTGACAGATTTGGCTAGACCAGCACTACCACATTGACAGATGCGGCTAGACTACATGTGATGACAGGGCCGTCAAGACTATTTGCCCAACCATTCTAAACGGACTGACCACTTCCGGTTATTAACCATACAAACAACGACCCTGTTTTCTCAGACACACGAATAAAACAATGTGTCAAGGCTACAACAAGATGTGTCGGACACACAAGTAGCCATCTATCAGGACACCATGTGACTTGCACTATTTCATCCTACTTGAGAAATGATCTCATATGTAGCCTAGACTTTTGACATTGTTTCAAATCATGTTTGTCTCCCCTCTCTCTCCCCCCCCCCCCCCCCCCACCACAGAGATATCTATAGCAAGCTCTGTCTGACTGAACGAATTCTACCATCGATTTAACGACAGACCAGTGCCCAACTACCAGTATACGTTGCCATGGTAACCACCGACGCGCACAAGCGGCGCACGTTTAAACAAGTTTTTGAGAGAAATTTTCGATAAAATTTAATGATAGCTCAGATCACGATGTTAATTACCGTCTTAAGGATCTTTTCTTCAATAATTGGTGAGGAGAGGGGCGGAGGGGGCGTCGTTGGGAGAAGGGGACAGTGGGGCGATGATCGAAGGCAACCCGTTGTTGGATGAGTCAATGAATAATGTATATATATATATATATATATATATATATATATATATATATATATATATATATATATATATATATATATATATATATATATATATATATATATATATATATATATATATATATATAATCTTGGCCAGTTTCTAATGTGACACTAATGTGACCCTTAAGCTCTGTAGACTCTCCATCCACCTCAAGGCTCAACATAACTAAAGAGTTCAATGAATGTAACCTGTGTCAGCAGCAACATTATCCAGCTTATGACCAGTATATATATATATATATATATATATATATATATATATATATATATATATATATATATATATATATATATATATATATATATATATATATATGTATATACACACACACACATATATATATATATATATATGTATATATATATATATATATATATATATATATATACATATATATATATAATGTTGGCCAGTTTCTAATGTGACACTAATGTGACCCTTAAGCTCTGTAGACTCTCCATCCACCTCAAGGCTCAACTTAACTAAAGAGTTCAATGAATGTAACCTGTGTCAGCAGCAACATTATCCAGCTTATGACCAGTCAAACAATAGTTTCATGAACATTTTCCTTCTATCTTTTGTTTAGTTGCATCGGACGATCGATTGGCCAGATAAAAATTTAGCATGACAAGCCAATTTTCAATGTTTGACGCTGCCAGATTAACCAGGTGTTTACACTAAAATTGATCAAATTCCTCCAGCCAGTGAGGCTCTGCGGCAGGTTGAATAAACAATCAATGCCAGTCAAACACTGGGTCAGCACCGTGCCTAGAGTGCTCAGCACCGTGCCTAGAGTGCTCAGCACCGTGCCTAGAGTGCTCAGCACCGTGCCTAGAGTGCTCAGCACCGTGTCTAGAGTGCTCAGCACCGTGTCTAGAGTGCTCAGCACCGTGTCTAGAGTGCTCAGCACCGTCACACTGTGGGTGTCACGTTTTAAAGTGCTAATGATATTCTAGTCCCAACGTCCCAACATTACCATTTAAAATATTAACATTAAAATTAATTAATTAGTTAATTAAAATATTAACATTAAAAATATTCAGCACTTAGCACTGAGTGCACAGCGGTGATGTAGTGATGTAAAGGCTTACCCTTTTATTGGTGACCATGACCTTTAGCAATTGACATTTAACCGGAAGCTAACCAGAATCTCTAATTGTCACATACACAACTGTTATCAACGCGCGCAGGTGCACACAGAAAATGACATAAACTCTCGAAACACACCGGAAATGACCAAACCCGACACACACCGGAAATGACCTTACCTCCCAAAAACACACCGGAAATGACCTTACCTCCCAAAACACACCGGAAATAACCTAACCTCCCAAAACTCACCGAAATGACCTTACCTCCGAAAACACACCGGAAATGACCTTACCTCCAAAAACACACCGGAAATGACCTTACCTCCGAAAACACACCGGAAATGACCTTACCTCTTTGTTTTCATTTTTGACCGCCAGCCTAAGCGGGGTCCTGCCCAGCGCGTCCGTGCAGTCCACGTTGATGTAAGGGTTCTCCTCCAGGATGCTCTTGACCAGCGGCACGTCCCCGAACTCCACTGCGTGCAGGAAGTCGTCCTCGGCCTTGGTGATGGCCGTCTCGACGTGCGAGATCTGGGCCAGGAGGGCGCGGCTGGGGGTGTTGCCCTGCGACAGCTGGATCAGGGGGGACGCCATCTTGTCCTCAGGTTTCTTCGTTCTACTGCGTCTTAGCCGGTCTGCAGGTCGAAACCGGCTGGACCCACGGCCATGTCAGGGTGACCGGCAGCCTGCAGACAAACAAGGACACGCAATAAATCATTGATGATGGCAGCTAACGGTCTTGATGACCCCGTAGATTGTTGGAAATAAAATGGGATTTTACCGGCTGCCGGCTGTTTGGCAAATACAATTGTTGACGCAGCAGCCCCCACCTACCCCAGCCCCCAGCATATGCAGTTTTATTTTCAGGATAATTCATAACATACCAGTTATCCCCCCCCCCCATGTCATCCCATACCAGCCCAAGTCCCCCACCCCACCACATGTCATCATAAAGGGTGGCCAGCCCCCCCCCCCCCCCATCTCATGTCATCTTATACGAGTACGCCATAAAACACAAAGCACGTATATATTTTAAAACCTCAATACACATGTGTAGATACACTTTCTTTTATGGTCTCCTAGGAGGCGGGGTTTGATGATTGAAAGTGTTTGTTGGTTTGTTGAAAGTTGGGCTACTTTGGCGTTCTTTAAGAAAACCCATCAAACAAGAATAAAGATATCTAAGCTACTCACTAGGGGACGAGGGGGGGGGGGGTCTCTAGAATCTAGAAAAAGATAATGAAATAACAGAAGCCTTGAGATCTGCATATCTCATCTGGTTTTATTTAGCATGAGACACTTGACGTAACAATACATGACATTTTCAAAACATAAATAAAAACACGAGTAAAATTTTGGGCTGAGAAAACTTTAACTACATAATTGCCAGTTAATTGCGACTAAAAATTCTGCAGCTGGCTAATTAAGATCTGTTTTAATTGCTTTAATAACCTGTGTCTGCCTGAAGTCGTGATAATAATAGGGTGCCAGCTCTGAAAGTAGTTCCGTCAGAACCTACGTGCCAAGAATAAACCTGCGCCGTTAGTGTCAAACATGAGAAGATAAAATAGTTCCATAATCCATTCGTAACGACCGTAGCTAAAATAGTTCCATATCTATTCGCTAGGAAAAGCCTTGAATTATGAATAATTGGCACGATGCAGGGTGGGGAAGAGGGGTTGGGGTTGAATAGATTTCTCACATATAGAAAGCTGTTTTTACTAATTCAGAGTATAGAAGTATTTTGTAATCGTGCACACAAATTAAATGACAGTTTTTGCCGTTTTAGACCTCCCTATTTGATCACACACGCAATATAAAAGATGTATTGTAATCATGCGAAAAATCTAAATCTAGATTTTGACAAATTTTACGTTTTATAAATTTCTGGAGCCAAAAAAATGTAGTTAAGCAATCCTTTCCGTCTGTGAGTGTGTATATAAACCATTTCAGTTATGTTGAAGAAATTTCATATTTTACTTCATAATCGTCTAAATTAAGTGGACGAAATTTCAAAGATATAAATATTATATTTAACGCACAGGTTTTTTCGACATTTGAATGATTTCCGGTAACCGAAAGTCGTACTTTATTCCATTTTCGCGTGAACCCGAAAACTTTAATACTATTACAGTTAGGTTAACGAAATTTAATAAGTAAGTATAAAATCTTACACTTGGATTACTCTTAAAGTTTGAGTGATCTCCGATATCCGAAAGTGGTACTTTACTTGATTTCCTGTTTCTAAAATACCTTTTCAGGTAAGTGTACTCAATCTCATACGTACACTTAAGATCTTCTTCCCTTATTCCTTCATCTTCGTTCTTAATTGTAAATTTGAACGCGATTTCTTCCAACACAATGAAGTATTACGTGTGTCAACTTGTTAAGCGCCAAATAAGCCGTTGACTCTGATTTCAGACTGTTTTTTGTGTGTTTGAATTATTTACTTCTATACCTTTGTCCATCCATGCACAAGAACAAAATAAAAGACAGCAGTTGTTGATTTTGGAGTTTTCGCTCTGAGGTTACTGTCCCCAGCTATCGAGCCTCATCGGCCCGCAGGTTTGAACTCGGGACTTTTAACCGACCCGACCACGCCAACCTTTGAATAATTTCTTGTGACAGGGAGTAGTACTTGACGCTATTTGACTCACCTCCCAAAATAGTATCATCTTTAGCGGTCCGCACCCCCCCCCCCCGTTCGACGCCTTGGTGTTCTAGTACCACCAGCACCGAACCCCGACATCTAAACGTAAGCTAACGAACATCATAGTTGTAAATTTTAACTCATTGTTTAACATCGTTTTTCTAGCATTTTCAATTTTAACTAAATTTTAACGCTACATTTTCTGCACTAATTGCATTTAGGCCACACAAAGGCAATCTATCAACATCGTTTGCTATTACGTAGTCCTAGGGTTACCAAAGAAATACGAGCACGATAGAAATGGACCAAAGTTTAAATTAATTAACAACTAATGATTTTTACACACGCCCGCTACTACTTAATCATGTCATGCGCTAACTTAAGTCTCCTCCCCCACAGATGTAATGCCATCACTATCAGTCTTCAGCATTGTAACCGCATATCTTCCATGTTTTTGTGTTTCCTGTTCAGTTTTTGATGGGACGTCATGTGACATCTATAAATAGACCAGCTCACCTCAACGAGAGCTTACTTCAAGTATACCGCTCATATTGATTGGCCCAAGTGACTCGCTGCTCAAAATGCTTTGTCTCTTAAAATGGAAAGTCGTGTCGACAGGGCATTCACGTCATGTCTTGTTGCGGTCACAAGGATCTCTGATTTAAGCAGAGAAACATGAGGGTTCATGTTACAAGGTTGTCTGAATTACAGACAATACAGGCTCGCGTTACAAAAGTCTGATTTATAGACAACACAGGCTGTTGGCTGTATTTAAGAGACTTTAGAATTAAGTTTAAACTTTAAAGATCGTCAATAAATGACATAGCGCTTTTTGACGATTTTTTTTTGCAATAACCCTTCATCAACATGCTCACAAATCGTCAGACCCCAGCCCCCCCCCCCCCCCCCCCCCCCTTGGGTATAGACATGATTTTACAATATATTTTTAATTACTTAAACTTTTTAAAATAGAATAGAATCTCGTAGAAAAAAGAATCGCACACCAAGTGAACAGCAAACGATTTGTGTATAATAGTGCGGAATATTAATACTTTATAAATTCATGTGCGTTTTTTGAGAAATCGGAAATAGCGTAAATTACTATTTCCGGTCAAGGAAAATTACTCAAAATTTGAAAAAAAGGCAAAAAATTAGATCTTTTACGTAAAAATGAAATTTCATTGAACTATCTGAAATAGTACTCAAGTTATAGGCTTTTGAAAAATTGAAAATAGAAAAAGTTCCACTTTCGCTTATCGGAAATTACTGACCACTTAATAAAGATCTACAAATTTGATATAATACTTATATATGAAATTCGATCATCCTAGCTTTAACGGTACTCAAGTTATCGTGTTCATAGACACACACACACACACACAGACACACACACATACACACAGACACAAGATTGCAAAACTATGTTTTTCCGACTCAGGGAGGTGTAAAACCTCGAAATTTTTATAATCTCGTATACGAAGTATAGAGAAAGTATTTTAATCGTGCAAAAAACAAAATCCAGATTTTTTTCAAATCTCGACGTTTTACACCTCCATGAATCGGAAATACAAAATTTTGCAATCTTGTCCGTATGTCTGTGTGTGTATGTGTGTGTGTGTGTGTTTGTGTGTATGTGTGTCTGTGAACACGATATCTTGAGTACAATTCAAGTAAAAGATCTAATTTTCTGCCTTTTGTCAAAATCTGAGTAATTTCCGTCGACCGGAAGTAGTAATTTACGCTATTTCCGATTTCTAAAAAAAAAACGCATGTAAATTTATAAAGTACTAATAATATTCCGCACTACTATATACAGATTTTTTGGCGTTCACACGGTGTGCAATTCTTTTTTTCTACGAGATTCTATTCTATTTTAAAAGTTTAAATAATTAAAGATGGATTAAAAATCATGTCTCTATACCGAGTCGTCACCCCCCGTAGTGTTATATAAGAATATTCGAGAACGTTTAGGGGAGATTACTCCCGGTTTATTTATTTTTTTGTTGCACGATTACAATACTTTCTCTTTACTTCGTATACGAGAAAGTAAAAATGAACAAAACTTCTTTTAAAAAAATAATTCATTAACTTCATTTTCTATAATTACTTTTTAACATGCAGAATACCTTCTCCTCTACACACATAGTCACAACAGTCCCCCCCCCCCCCCCCCCCACGATGGACCCTTTAAAAAATAATAGCCACATGCTACTGACTTGATGGCTGGGTATGATAACCCAAGTTTCCAGATCTTTCTATCTTGTTTTATTCCAAGTCCGTGTCTAAATACCCGTCTAGCTCAGGGGTCTCCAAACTACGGCCCGCGAGGTCCTCTCATCCGGCCCGCGGAGATCTTTTTGTCCACGGAAAAAAACGTTTGTTGGTGATGGCTGAGGAACTTTGCCCAGAAAAATCAAAGACATGTCTGGAACTCACTGGCCCCCGAAGTGAAGATTTATAGTTAATGCGGCCCTCGGACGGAAAAGTTTGGAGACCCCTGGCTCTTTAGGTTCTGACTGTACCGAGCTGGTATAGCTTTTGTTTTGACGGAGCGTGTGTGGAATCAATGGTACAGGCCTGTAGATAGGACTGGCTGATACCTTGTTCTATCTTTAGACTTCTGACTACAACATCACGTGACGCCAACTGTCACGTGACCAAACATGGGACCTCGACCATCTGACCAAACATGGGACCTCGACCATCTGACCAAACATGGGACCTCGACCATCTGACCAAACATGAGACCTCGACCATCTGACCAAACATGAGACCTCGACCATCTGACCAAACATGAGACCTCGACCATCTGACCAAACATGGGACCTCGACCATCTGACCAAACATGAGACCTCGACCATCTGACCAAACATGAGACCTCGACCATCTGACCAAACATGGGACCTCGACCATCTGACCAAACATGGGACCTCGACCATCTGAC